TTTCTAGAAATGTTAGGATTCCTTTATTTTTTTTGTTTTGTTTTGTTTTTTTGTTTTTTGTTTTGTCAGTTTTATATTTTGAAATCATAATCGCTGAATTTCATGTCTCAAACGAAAGATAATTCAGGAGGCCTGCATACAAGCCCTTCTGACTTTGTAAATTGTTTCCGGAACTTATGAAAAGGACACGAAATATCAGTTACCTCTGACAAGTGGGAACTTCCAGAGTCATTTACCTCAGTCAAGAGAGTTTCCCAAAGGCCTGGACGGACGCCGAGGCTCCCTTGACGCTGATTGGCTGCTTTCACCACGCCGTGATTGGTCGCGGAAGTATGACGCTTAATTCATGAGAATATTTCATATACAGTAAGCTGTCGTTCCCTATGCAGGCTGTATTACGTTAAGAACATATTGTATAGTAAAACCCACAGATTTATCTATATTTTTATTTCCAATTACACCTCCCACTCAAAAGGGGATTGGCTGAAAGAGAAACTACGGTTGGTCGAAGATGCATAACGGTCAGTCTTTCTTGACGTCCTTCAGTTTTCTGAAAATATAGTAATAGTTTTTGAGGATCATATGTGTAACCATAAGATAATTATGTAAAATCTAAAAAGTAATATCATCAATTTTATATATGGAATATATGCAATGGCCAAGTTTCACTTGCATCGGCCCTATCAACCTGCGTCTAAATTATATATTCATCATTTTGACCTTGGAATAATACTCACATCCTCCGAAACCACCGCCGAAGCCTCCTCCGCCTGCAAGTAAAAGGCATTTTTGAGCACGATAGTTGTACGATCGCGTAACCTCAAAAGCCTCTCGCATCACACAAAACGATTTCCTTGACAGAGAAATGATGTCCTTTAATGCTCTTCCTCGATATACTCACCTCCCAACCCTCCGCCGCCCCCGAAGCCTCCGCCAATGCCTCCACCGCCATGACCTCCATGGTGACCTCCGTTACCTCCGCCGCCGCAGCAGGCCAAGGACTTAGCGCCGACGAAGGCGACGGCGAGAGCCAGGAGGACGAAGAAGGCAAGGAACCGCATCTGAAGGAGACCAGAAGCTCTTCTGTAAAACTGATCACGACAAATAAAAAGCGCAAAGAAACAGATACCGAATCAATTTAAGATTCCAATTACAATCTGTGTTGTAACAAAAGCCGCTTCGGTTCCTCTGCCTCTTACCGTGGTCGTCGTGAGGGACCACACTGCCAATCCCGAAGGCGCAAGGGCTTATATGTGCCTTTGGCCCCTACCCCTTCTATCCCCAGGAAGCCTGATCTTTGATCCTTATCTTGTCTCGGATAACCTTGATGCTTACTGCTTATCATCCGAGTCAATCTCGGTCAGATAAGACACGAGAACGGCATCAAGTTTCCCCGTGCGACGCAACTAAAGTCATCACTGTAATTGGATAGTAGTAGTGATATTAATATTTTTGTTGCATCACGTAGAAAATAAACTGACCTTATTATCCTTATACCTTATCTGTCCCTGCGTCTGCAGCAGATGTGATTCTTCGCCCAGGTCATAACGGAGGCCATCGTTGTGAGGGAGTTATTTGTATATATTTTGCAGATCCATTACTGTATTTATTATCCCTTCATATTCACCTATGTGTGTGTATCATGCATTCTTAATCAAATGTCCCTTTGTGTGTGTGCATCATGCATTCATAATCAAATGTAACTGAAAATGTATATTTTTTCACGTGGCAGTTTCTGCGGCTTTGATGAGTGTCCTGGGAAATAAAGACATCCGTCAAGCAACAAGACAAATGAGGTTTCTCGATTCTTCATATACTCACACGCACATACGTGCGTGTGAGTATATGGGTGCGTGGATGGTGTGTGTGCGCGCGCGCGCGTTTGTGTGTGTGTGTGTGTGTGTGTGCGTGTGTGTGTGTGTGTGTGTGTGTGTGTGTGTGTGTGTGTGTGTGTATGTGTGTGTGTGTGTGTGTGTGTGTGCATACGTAGTATATATAGAATCTTAATCTTCATGCTAATATTTTTGCTCATGTTTTATATTATTGTTTCGAATTATCCACTCGATTTTTCCCTTGTCCTTGATCTAAATCTATATTAAGTCAAAGTGTATATATACATATATATACATATATACACACACACAACTCACATGGGTTTATATTTCTTTATAAGTGTGTATATACATATATATACATATATATATATATATATATATATATATATATATATATATATATATATATATATATACACTTATAAATAAATATAAACCCAGCTGTGTGTGTGTGTGTGTATATACACACTTTGACTTAATATAGATTTATTCATGTTTTCAGCAAAACGATTTTTTGTGGCCTAGGCAACATATCGCCTATTATTGAAGCCAAAACAAAGTGTATATATATATATATATATATATATATATATATATATATATATATATATATATATATATACATATATATGTATATATATATATATATATATATATATATATATATATATATATATATATATATATATATATATATATACACACGCACAGCTCACATGGGTTTATATTTCTTTATAAGTATATATATATATATATATATATATATATATATATATATATATATATATATGTATATATATATATACACATATATATATATACATATATATACACATATATACATATATATGCATACATATGTATGTACACATACATACAAACGCATACGTAAACGCAGTTGAAAATATAACGTTCATTTTTGCTCCTTTGTGATGTTTAGTTAACGTCGCACATTCCTATACAAAAATATGATTATTTGTGTTTGAATATAACACTATACCATTTTCCCACATGTGTGGATCACTATCTAATTTATTCTTATATAACAAATTTATAGAAAACCCTTGGAAAAAAGTTTTACCGTAGAGCAAATAATTATATATCCGCCAACGTTCAGTATATTCTTGTTAGTATTGCCTGTTGTATGGAATTGGAGTAATGCAATAATGAAACATCCATATATCTATTTTGCTATCTTCTATTTCGAATAGCATCTAAGAGAAAGGAGGTACACATAACCCCTCCCCCCCAAAAAAAAAAATGTAGTTTTGTTACTGAAACGGCCGAGAGTAAAATTACAGGAAGTTTCTAGATCTCCTGGAAATATAATGAAATTAATGACATTATTCTTGTTAATATTAAGAACGAGGTCAACAGTGATATAGGTGAAGCATTTTAGTTAATATCGATAGAATAAACTTAATCATAACAAGAATATCTGTAAATCAGATTTTTTCCGGAAATTTACATGATACTTATCTTTAAAGCAGATATAGGCACAGGCTTCGTCAGCTAAAACTTTAACCACTCAAAATGCAAAGAAAATGGATAACGCTACTTCGTTTCAGGACTTTATTGTAATTCCGCAAAACATTATCATATATATTTACAATAATTGTAAACACATTAATTAATCTTGGCTTTCGTTAACAACTAATAACAACTTTAATACAACTTATACTAATTAAGAAAAGGTCTCACTCGTAAGTTCTGAAGCACGCGAAAGAGACGTGTAGTTTGATCCCTCGTACCTTCGTAGTGTATCTCTCGATAAGGATAAGGCCTTCGTTGAAGCATCATCGGTCTGTCGGCCGATCCAGCCTTTGGCCCCACAGACCAAATCCCAAGGCGGGCAGGGTCACCTTACTGAAATAGACGGCAGTGAGAAATAGGACGAGGAATGCAAGGAACCGCATCTATGGGAGACATTCTCAGTTGATTAGTGTCTCCTCCCCCAGTAGAATGCTGCACATCTTTCCATGTGCGACTGTTAATGGCTCTTGGCATCTCTCACAACGTACCTCACGTTTAGCCATCATCGGCCCATATGCGCCCGATGTTTAGCCTTAACACAATTTCTACCTGTTGGTTGGGATGAACACTGATCAACTAACTGTCGAGACCATATCTCCTCTCTCTTAGTTTGTCTAGAAGTATGCCTCCATTGGTCCCTCCATTTAGCACGAAGACAACTTTTGATGCTGGGTCTCAAGTTGGTATGTGGGAGAGGAAAACAAGCAGCACAGGGCTGAGCGGCGGCTTCCTTGGCCCTTCGATCTGCTCACTCATTCTCATGGCTACCAACATGCACTGGCACCCAACACAGAGTTATTTTCTTACGGGCTAATGTCAGTGCAAGCTAATTTTGAACCTCCCTTACCAGTGGATGTGATGAGGTTAAGCTCTTGATTGCTGGCAAAGCACTACGAGAGTCGCAATATATTACAACAGAATAGTTCGTAAAATCTCTAGTAAGTATGGCATGTAACTGCAGTGAAGACCGAGGCTGCCGAAGAAAGACTGTCAACTTTAGTCTTTTTCTGCTCACTGCTGCAAAGTTCACACCATTTTCAGATTTCGAATCATCTATTTATATTGCATCTGATCCTTATATATATATATATATATATATATATATATATATATATATATATATATATATATATATATATATAACCTCTCAAAACTGAATTGAGAGAGGCCTATGTCCTGCAGTGGAATGAATGGCTGTTGGGATATATATATATGTATCTATCTATTTATATATGTGTGTGTGAGTGTGTGTGTGTATACATCTATGTATGTATGTATATAGATAAATATATATTCACTTATACTGTGTATATATGTATATATGTATATGTGTGTATAAATGGAATAAATGCATAGAATTAATACAGCTCACATGGGTTTATATTTCTTTATTTCCAATAATAAGGAAAAGAATAGAATATAGGTGAAAACCGAAAGAAGAGGTATATACTTGGAGGAAAAATACTAACAACATGCTATGACAAGTGGTAATTTTCCAACTGAAATTGCGTTGGCCATGTGATGTCCTGGTGATCTCTCCGTAAAGTCCTTAAGTTCTCTGAAATTTGGACAAAATAGTACTTATAAAGACGAGTAAAATGGCATAATATTAGCAGCAGCTAAAAGGGCATTGATGATAATGATGTATACTGTTGGCATTGATAATAATAAATTACATTAATAATTATGTAATATAATAATCATGAAACAAATAATGATGATAACAATCAACTTTCTGACAAACTTATCTACATATGAATTATTCAAATATTCAGTGGATGCTTCAAGCTGACACTCGGACCGCACTTACATCCTCCGAATCCGCCTCCGAAGCCTCCGCCGCCTGCAAAGGATCATATAATCTACGTATGTAACTGTATTTGGTAAAATTCGTTTCGGTGAGATATATCATACTGCTTGATGCTGATACATGGCCTTTTCTCGAAACTTTTCTAGAAAATCGAGTCCATCATTCCTTCGTCAAAGAAGTCTTTATAGTGTGTTCACTCACCTCCCAATCCTCCGCCGCCTCCGAAGCCTCCGCCGAAGCCTCCGCCACTATGACCTCCATGGTGACCTCCGTTACCTCCGCCGCCGCAGCAGGCCAAGGACTTAGCGCCGACGAAGGCGACGGCGAGAGCCAGGAGGACGACGAAGGCAAGGAACCGCATCTGAAGGAGACACCAGGTATACTCTAGTCAAAGCTTGTAATGAAACTGAACTATCAAAATCCCAGTTATTAAAAATTATAAAGTGAAAAATAACTGAAGGCATTGATTAAGAAAATAGCAACGCTGAGACAGCCAAGACTTGGGGATAAGATAGTGTGTAAGATAATGGGTTCCGTCTTGAAAGCTACATGGTTTCCCACGTTTCTTACTGTGTTCGTCTCTTCGAACTCGACTGCCGAATCTTTGAGCCGATGAGTTTATATGCTGGACTGCCCCTTCCCCTCGTCCTCTCCTCCCACGGGCGAGGGATAAGCGTGACTCCTAATCATCGCCTCGCCCGGGATAAGACTAACAAGGGCACACCGGCGTAACCTTGATACACATTGCTGGTCATCTGAGTAAACCGGGATCTGCTCTGAAGCAGGCGGCGAGGCATTTCCAGTGACTCCGAGTGTTGTTGTCCACTCTCATGCCAAGTTTTCATTCCGCTTTAATCAACAATCGACTTTAGATAATACAAAAATAACATGAATTATCACAATTTAAGCATATGCTAGCTGGAACGACAACGAAATGAGCTTTGGCTTTAATGTTTAACCATGATAATGTAAAGAAAAACTATGACCAAACATTCTCGGAAGCTCCTGAAATTTGCTCAGGTGATTCAACCCTCTGACAAGGTCATGGCTGGATATCCTTCTTATCCTGAATCTGAGAGAAAAGCGGCGAAGGAGGCGACAGGGGCGGCTGGGGGTGATGGCCGGGAGAGAGAAAGGCGGGTATATAATCTCAGAAATGGCCCGGGCATAGCATTTCAGTGTCCCGGGAAGTTCAAGGTAAGGAGGACGACTGCTTACTCTGTCTGCTGTGGATTATTCTACCGTGCTTATTTGCCGTCTGCATCCGAGAATGTAACGTGATTCTGATAGCTTTCGTGTTTGATGTTAACTCTTGCCTGTTTTTCTATTTACCCTGTAAAAATAATGGAGTCTTAGTACACACACAAACCGTGAGCATGTCTCTGTGTACGCAACGTGCTTATAGCTATTCTTTATATAATTCAAAACCGGATCTTGTTTAAGATATCCTATCATATCGCCCAAGGACCATCGTTATCAGTTGCACCTTCTGCGTTGGCTTCTTATTCGGTGAAAAGAAATTCCACCCAAAATGTGCATAATTTAGATCATTTCATATTTTTGTCGATATCATAACCCAATGTATCCATAAATCCTCTTCATAACCATTTAGCTAAGTGAAAACCATAACAGTTGTTGGTTATCAAAGTAGCTAGGTCCATTGCAGTATCGACGAGGCAAACCAACAACAAACCATATTGAATTTGGTCTTTCCTGTAGATGCGGTTCCTTTTGTTCCTCCTCCTCCTGGCTCTTGCCTTCGCCTTCGCGGCCGCCAAGACCATGCCCTGCTGCTACGGCGGAGGCTACGGCCACTTCGGTCACCACCACCACCACCACCATCACGGTAAGCAAATCAGGGGCTCAGTCTTCTGCAAGAGTTTATCAGTCTCAGCTTTTGACTCATTTGTGTATGTGATATATGTTATAGTTTACGGCTGTTGTGATGAAAATAACTGTAGTGTAGCAACATTTACATTTTAATTAACATTTCTTTTTAAGCAAATATGGGCGATATTTTTTATTATATGCAAATATTTTTTCAGGGCACTGGGGTCACTGGGGCTGTAAGTACAACACGAACAAGTCATCGTAAAATTGCCTTGGCTAATACGATAAATGATTATATATAAATCTGAAAACAAATATTCTACCAAATTTTCTGAGTTCTTCTTTCTTGTCGACAGGATCCTACGGACGGCGAGCAATCGACCCCAAGACAAGGACAACGACATCGGGACAAGTTGCTTCCTCTCTTCTTCACGCCTGTGGTTTTGGGTTATCTTGCGGCGCGGTTCGTGCCAATAAAGAAAATATCGCTGCTGCTATGTTTATTACTAGTTTATTACCTGTTGCTTTAATGAAGTTTGAGGAAAAGACCTAACTTGGATATAAGATACCTTCTAGGCAATCATACTGAGACTTGAAATTATTACATGTATCATATAATCGTGCATTTCTTTTCTTGTCTTTTGGGATTTGAATGGAAGATATTTTCAAACTTTAAAAAGAAAGAGATAGAAAATAGGAAGGTGGATATCTATCACACACACACATTTTGGGCTAGAGAAGACAAAGACCAAATGCTGATTTTATGTGAAATCTGTAAACTCAAATTTCTGAAGATGTAGGTTTCTGTTACAGAAGCGTAAGTGATTTACACCACAAAAAAAAGAAAAACTACAAGAAAAGAAAGTAGTTTCCAGAACCGCCTCTTCGAGTACGCAGGAATATAGTAGGCCTACTTGTCGACTTCACACTCCGAAAAAATACCAATAAAGTCTAATTCATCTTTACATCCCCGGGAGTTGCGTCGTGTTTGAGCAAACCCCTTACCACTCGTTCACCTCGCCGGACATTTCTTCTTTAGAGTATCACTGGGCTGTCTATACTCTGTTAGCAGAAAGAGAAAAAAAAGTCTCAAACAAGACCGCATTCTCATTTAAATCACGATTATGGGGTATTACCTACTTGCATTTTTGCAATTTACTTGATAATTACAAGACGTTATTGACATGCACGTCACATACCCGTCTCATTCATGCATCAGATAAGATGTGAATTCCCTAAAAGAACAGTAAGTAAGGATGTAAATGTTATTTCAGCGCAAAGTATTGAACTAAATGTGTGTTTAAATGATAAGAGAAGTAAGAATTAAGAAAAAGACGATAGTCTGTTTACATAAGCATCCAGAGCCACTTTTAATCCCTTCGTGCCCGTCACGCCGTTTTTTTGTATAATACCTGATCAACACCGAAAACATTGAACACCAGTGCATAACAAGTTTTAATGACTACACTGTGTTATAACAAACCGTGCGAAAACCGCGGAGGACTATTTTCTATACTTATTCATGTTCTTTTCTTATTTTCTTGTTCTCATCAGAAACGCACCAACGGCTGGGCAGATTGATGAATTACTGATGGGATTTAATAAAGTTATAATGGGCAGGTATAAGCCTAGCGATAGGGTTAGGCTGCTAAACGTTTTCGATCGTTTTTTCCACGCTTCCTCTTTTTACAAATATCAAAAATCTTAGTGAATTCGTTTTTATTTCTCAGAAGATAAGGTGAGAATCTAATTTTGTTTTCAATTAAACTATTCTTGGTAAATGATTAATAATAATTGAGGTAATATAGGTTTAATTTCAAGTTCGTTAAGTTTAATCAACGTTCCTACTGGCGACAAATAACCGGATAAGCGGAATTAGATGATGTTAACGAGAAACATTCTGTAACAGACAATTAATCACAGAAATGGTATACAAGAAAATATTTTTGAAATAAAATGATTGATCGATCAGTGTAATTTCCTTTTTTTTTCTTCTTTTTTTTTTAAGAAAATCCACTTCGGTTTTGAACTGATTTATACATTCTGCATTCGAGATACTTCGGCCACATATTTTGGCTTTTTTTGTTTCATATCTTTTATCATTAATAGTTCCAGAAGAACATTGTTACTGTTGTCGCTGATGATGTTCCTTGATTATCATTGTTATTTTGACTATACTTGTATATATATATATATATATATATATATATATATATATATATATATATATATATATATATATATATATATATATATATATATATATATATATATATATATATATATATATATATATATATATATATATATATATATATATATATATATATATATATATATATATATATATATATATATATATATATATATATATATATATATATATATATATATATATATATATATATATATATATATATATATATATATATATATATATATATATATATATATATATATATATATATATATATATATATATATATATATATATATATATATATATATATATATATATATATATATATATATATATATATATATATATATATATATATATATATATATATATATATATATATATATATATATATATATATATATATATATATATATATATATATATATATATATATATATATATATATATATATATATATATATATATATATATATATATATATATATATATATATATATATATATATATATATATATATATATATATATATATATATATATATATATATATATATATATATATATATATATATATATATATATATATATATATATATATATATATATATATATATATATATATATATATATATATATATATATATATATATATATATATATATATATATATATATATATATATATATATATATATATATATATATATATATATATATATATATATATATATATATATATATATATATATATATATATATATATATATATATATATATATATATATATATATATATATATATATATATATATATATATATATATATATATATATATATATATATATATATATATATATATATATATATATATATATATATATATATATATATATATATATATATATATATATATATATATATATATATATATATATATATATATATATATATATATATATATATATATATATATATATATATATATATATATATATATATATATATATATATATATATATATATATATATATATATATATATATATATATATATATATATATATATATATATATATATATATATATATATATATATATATATATATATATATATATATATATATATATATATATATATATATATATATATATATATATATATATATATATATATATATATATATATATATATATATATATATATATATATATATATATATATATATATATATATATATATATATATATATATATATATATATATATATATATATATATATATATATATATATATATATATATATATATATATATATATATATATATATATATATATATATATATATATATATATATATATATATATATATATATATATATATATATATATATATATATATATATATATATATATATATATATATATATATATATATATATATATATATATATATGTCTGTATTTATTTTTATAAGGTAATTTATATAATGTTACAAAATAGGTATTGCATAAGCTAAATCATAAAAAAACTCAAGATATACAAGTGACGTTTCCATTTTACTATGAATTGGTATAAAGGCAGAAAATACAAACGTAGCAATATATTTTATTCTGTGGATTCTCACAGTTGTCGCAATGATCTCTGATGCTATAAATGCAGCAAAAATACGTTCAGTGATAAACAGCTGTTGTTTCATTTTCCCTTAACCCTCGTGTGAAATGAGGGACCGGACCATGACTCGCCAGTGACATAGGGTGATTTCCTAAAACCTTCCTGATTTTTTTTTTACCTGTTTTTTGTCTTTTATAAAGGTGTTGAAACCGTCGACTCATCTAAGACGTGTAGAAGATAAAGATGTGGGAATATGACGAAATGTCTCCCATATCATCGGGAGTGAAAACGAATCTTACAAAAATGTCCACATCTTTTCATAGACAACCTGTACAATACAACTACATAATCTATATAAATGCAAGTAAATAGAAGAAATCATATAAATAATTTGAATGCCATTCCTAAACAAACGCTGAGGCATCCGAGGCGTCACGGCGTGCCCTTGCCCGCGGAAACTTCTCGGCGGCGGCGACTTGGCCTCCCGATTGACTGGCAAATATCGCAAGCCCTCGGCCACGATCGCTGGCTGAGCGCCGGCCGCCCTTCTCTTCGTCTTGCATCTGCATGCCTACCCGTCTATGCACACAGTTAAATGTATATATACGAGCATGCATGTTCCCATGTGTGTGTGTGCATGTTTGTGTGTGAGTGTGTGTATGTGTATGTGTACAAATACATATATATATATATATATACATGTACATCTATATTTGTATATATATATATATATATATATATATATATATATATATATATATGTGTGTGTGTGTGTGTGTGTGTGTGTGTGTATGTGTGTGTGTGTGTGTGTGTGTGTGTGTGTGTGCGTGCGTGATTGTGTGCATGTGTGTGTGTGTCTGTACATATATACATATATATATATATACATATATATATGCATACACCCACACACACACCCGTACACACAAACACATACACACACACACACACACACACACACACACACACACATATATATATATATATATATATATATATATATATATATATATATATATATAATACATATATATATATATATATATATATATATATATATATATATATATATATACATATATATGTATATATATGTATATATATATATATATATATATATATATATATATATATATATATATATATGTATGTATATGTATATATACATATATATACATATATATATATATATATATATATATATATATATATATATATATATATATATATATATTTATATATATATATATATATATATATATATATATATATATATATATATATATATATATGTATATATATATATATATATACATAATAAATGCAGCCATATATATATATATATATATATGTGTGTGTGTGTGTGTGTGTGTGTGTGTGTGTGTGTGTGTGTGTGTGTGTAGAAAAGGTATGAATGAGAATGAATACCTTCACAATACGAGAGTTGTATTTGACCGGTTTCGATTATATCTTCGTCAGAAATACATGTATGTATTTCATGTATTTCTGACGAAGATCGAAACCGGTTAAATACATCTCTTGTATTGTGAAGATATTCATTCTCATTCATACCTTTTCTACATTTGTCAACATGAATACGGTTCATATATATATATATATATATATATATATATATATATATATATATATATATATATATATATATATATATATATATAT